AGCTAATATACTAATATTCAGATATTCAGTTCTGCTTTCTACTGAAATGAAATATTTTTCTAATTGTAGTAGCTATAATTTTGATATTTTAGATTTTAGCTAATCTAATTGTAGTATTTAGCTACAGTTTTGCTACTTTAGCTTTTAGTCACTATTTTTGAAATGTTAGTATTTTTTTTTACAGTTTTGCTACTTCAACTTTTAGCTACTTTTTTCTAAATGTAGTATTAAGCTACAGTTTTGATACTTTAGCTTTAAAGCTAATATTTTTTTCTAATTGTAGTAGCTACAATTTTGATACTTTAGATTTTAGCCAAACTAATTGCAGTATTTAACTATAATTTTGCTGCTTTAGCTTTTAGTCACTATTTTTCAAATGTTGGTATTTTGTTACAGTTTTGCTACTTTAGGTTTTAGCTGCTTTTTTCTAATTGTAGTATTTAGCTACAGTTTTGATACTTTAGCTTTTAAGCTAATATTTTTCTAATTGGAGTAGCTACAATTTTGATACTTTAGATTTTAACTAATCTAATTGTAGTATTTAGCTACAGTTTTGCTACTTTAAATTTTAGCCCCTATTATCCTAATTGTAATATTTATCTAACTATTTAAGCTTTTAGCCTCTTTTTTCTTAAATGTATTTTTAACTAAAACTTTGCTACTTTATCTATCTTTTTTCTAATTGCAATATTTATCTAGTTGTGCTACCTCAGCTTTAACTACTATTTTTCTAATTGAAGTATTTAGCTACAGATTTGATACTTTAGCTTTAGCTAATATTTTTCTCATTGAAGCATTTAACCACTTTTTAGCTAATTTTAGCCTATAGTTAAACCTTTGTTCATTTTGGCTTTCAGCTGCTGTATGCTGGTTTTAACTAGCTTTGCTATTTCCAGCATTTATATACACGATTTAAAAAACTTGAAGAATCTCTGTGCAGTTTGCTGGCATTTAGGTGAAAAAAAATCAATTGATTCTATAAATCAATATGTGTGAGCAGCTCTTCATCATGCAGAGAAGAAGCCACATCTGAACAAGATATGAAATATGAGATGAATGTAAATATGAAATGCATAAGGAAGAAATGAGGAAGTGTGTGTGGACTGATTAGCTCCACAGAAGACTTTGTTCCTGTTGCAAAGAACAAAAGCTTGATGACAGAAAAGTGGACGAGCAGAGTTCCATTGATCCGAGTCAATAACCTGTCAGGACCTGCTCAAACAGCAGCTTATTGATTGTTTGATAAGGTTAAACTCTATCACAGAGAAACAAGAGGCTGGTCATACCTCAAAGTCTTCCTGCTCCTCGCTGGTCAGCGTCGCCCTCTGAAATAAAGAACAATATTCAGAAACACTCCAGCAGGACACAGGAGGAGTCATGAAGGTGATTTATTATCAGACGTGTTTATTTTTTGGGAGATCAGATTCACGAAACGAATCGATAAAAAAGTTGTAACAGAAATGAAAATCATAGGTCAAGAACCCATCTGATCAGAGTCAGACTGTTTGCACAAAGAGAACAAACGCTCACCTTGTGCCTCTCCCGGTGATCCTGATGATCCTGAAGAAAAAGAAAACTGAACATGAGTACCTGTACATCTTTATGAGTTTGAGTGTAGAGACAGTTCAGGTTATAGGCTACTTATGAGAAAATAATACCTTAAACAGTTCAGGTAAATGTTGCTCACCATTTATTCCTTTACCCAAATAATTTAAAATCCTGCACATTTTCTGTTTTCTCATGTTAAAAATGATCCAAAATGTTCTTAATTTTAAATAATTTCAAGCAGCAAAATCATAATTTTAATGAAATAAAGCATATAAAACATGAAGGTATGTCATTAAATTAATAACTAGTTAATCCAAAATGTGAACATTTAAATACAAATATAATATGCTTTTGCTAAACATGAGCTAAAAGTTATTTGATTTTCACTTTATTCTTCCTTCAACTCACCACATCTTCCTCCCACTCTCCGTCGATCACAAACTCGAAACAGCAGCTTTGATGGAGGATCAGGAGCCCCAGCAGCAGCAGCAGCAGACACCTCATGTTTCCAGGTTTATTCACACATATTCTCAAACTCTCGTGAAAAATAAGAAAACCAGTTCCAGGGGTAGAGAAGACAGTCCTGATGTAAAGAGAGGCCTGCAGAGCTGAAAACTGGAGGTTAAAATCCACTGAACTGATCGACGTCCAGCTCCAGTAAATATTTGTTGAGTTTGATGCAACGCAGAGAGAAGAAGGAAACTTTGAAACTTGACCTGCGGTTAGGACAGGACAAGTGGGACGGATTAGTTATTTACAAATTAAACAAGGATTTAAAGACAGACAAAACAATAAAACACTGATTATAAAGCTAAATGTGTGAACAAACATCTGTCTGTTTTTTTCTAACTAAACTTTTCAAATTTTGTAATCATATAAAAAAGTTTTATGGTAAAACTTACTTTAGAAAATTTTGTTGTAATTATTCTTTCTCCACAAGGGGGCGCCAAAAACACCTAAATGTTAATGTCCTGATGCATCTCAGTAATCC